AAAAAAAACCAAATGTTATTGAAGCATTACGTGAAACATGTGAAGCTTCATATCCTGCGGTATGTCTTTTTTTTTATATTAATTTCTTTTTTGAAAAAGAATCAAGAAAATTTTTTATTCTTTAGACAAATCTTGATCAACTTTCTGAAGTTGCTATAGGTGTACTAGCACATAAAACACCTATTGTTCGACAATGTACACAACAATTTCTTACAAAATGTTTTGCTATGGCAACACAAACAACATTACCTAAAAAAGTTCTTAAAATCTATTTACCAGCATTAGTTAAAGTAAGTTATAGTTAAATATATATATATATATAAGTGTAAATATCTTATTTGTAATTATAGAATACAGGTGAAGCAGATGCAGGTGTACGTGATAGTGCATTTGAAAGTCTTGGTATGTTATGGAAATGTCTTGGTGAAAAACATATTCTTCCACATATAACAGAGTTAGATGAACTTAAATTAAATAAAGTAATGATAAACTTTTATACAGAAACATTTTATGTCGAATATTTATTTATTTATTTTTTAGATAAAAGAATATGCTGAAAAATCAATTTTATTAAATGCACGTGGTGAACCACGTTCATCAGGAACAAGTACAGCTGCTGTATCAAAATCTGTTGCTTCTTCTATAAATACAGCAACTATGACAAAGAAATCAGGAGGTGCAACTATAGTTAAACCTGATGTTACAGCCGATAAAGATGAAGAATCAACAAGTTCAGCACCAACAACTAAACCAACAACTGCCGTTAAAAAAAAATCAACAACAACTAATAAACCTGCAGCAACAACAAATGAACCTGTCGAAGAAAAAAAACGCGAACCAAGACCACCAAAGGTAAATTGTAATCTTTTCATAGGTTGTTTTATTTTTGTTCGAAGTCTTTCTGATGGTTTTGCATGTGCGTTGTTTTACTCTTCTTTTTGTTTTTGTTATTCGAATAAGACTTACAAAACATATACACATGTGTCTTTGAATATAAATTTTTTTTTCATTTTTCACTTTTGACATTAACACTCGTACACCTTTGTGTATATGTTTGTACGTTATTGTAGGCTTCTATGCTAATTAATGATAGTGTTGTATCTCAGCCACGGAAAAATT